ATATACTAAAAAGGCAATCAACCTCTCAATCTCCTCAAGGTTGGTGGACTCCAAGACCCTTCTTTATTAGTATATGGGGATAAGTTTTGGGTTATTTGTATGTGGGCATATGTATTGGTATGGCCAGGAAACTACCTCCTGAAGCATTCCCTTAGTAAAAAAGAGCCAAATGAACTCAAGCTCACAGTTCATACTTCTGGTGAAACCTTGATCGAAATGGATCCTGGACATGTCGGTGAGGGGCAAAATCTGGGATAATATTCCTAGTGTCAGCATCACCATATCCGTCATGTACTATGGGGCCTAGTGGGGGTGCTAGACAGGGAGCTCATCACCCTACCTTCCCTCTACACTTACACGTTTTCCTAATGGGGGTTGGGGAGTGGGGTTCTCATAACTCTCAGAACTGCTACTTCCCTGAGGCTATGAAACAGGAACAGCAGCTAGGAACAGGATCAATATCTTCGTAACTGCGAATAAAAAGTTTTTTATAGACATAACTTATATGGCGCCACTTGAAATTATAATAAGAGCCAAACTAGTAAGATATAAGTATGAATACTTGGTCTATTATGTATGTAACAAACACATGTGCTCAAGGCTCATTTTACTTTGCCTAGGAATCAGAGTTTTTTATGCCTAAAACACCATAAATGTTTGACAACAACATAAATAAATACCATTTATATTTGTCAATTTCAGTATGGAAGGATTATTTCAACACAAAAAATGCGACATGAGGACATACTTGGTCATTCTAGTGAAGCTATACTAAATGCAAATAAATTTACAACGCCATGGCAACGGCAAAACATTGAAATGGAATGTCTAAAAATGATCAAAATACTTGCCTTGAAACTCCAGACATGACTCCCAATGCCAGGTTGAGATACTTGTCTTTGTACGAAGACATTCCGTCATTATGAGCACTATCAGTTTGCAAAATAAAGCCAAGAATGTCTTGAGGATGCGATTCAAACAATACAATTACAACACAATACATTACAATGCTTGTGTGCGATAATCAGGAAAATTGCTCTAAAAGGTTTGTTTTTCTGCCTAAGCCAATCAAAATCCGTATCTATGGTAAAAAAAACACTCCGGAAGTGATCTCTGCAGTCTTTTACCAGGAAACTGTAATGCAGAAGTTTATTTAATTTAAAGAAACTTATACATTTGGCAGTAAGAGTACAACTTACTGATAACTTCAACAAATGTAATTATATATATATATATATATATATATATATAAATATACTACGTAAAAACGTCTAAAGATTAAATATCCAAACGCATGTTCAATTTTAGTAAAACGACCAGATAAAAAGCTACGACTAAACTAAACTTTGTTGAAAAAACAAAGTAGAATACTAAGCCAAAAATTTCAGTGAAAAGGCGAAGAATAATATTACGACTGAATCGAAACTTGAAAACAGTGCCAGTGGCAGAAGACGAACAAAGTCCAAGTGATCCCACAGTAATTGGCATATGCTGTTGTGGTGACCCTGCCCTAGTTGGCGAAGCTAATAAAAACAAAAAACAAAAAACAGATCATTGGTGAGGTTCTGACCAGCTTTTAAAAATGTATGAAGGCATGTAGAAAATATTAGATAAAGAAAAAACCGGAGAGAAAGCGACAATAAAATCAATAGAATATGAAAATTTTGTTCTTTTTGCGACATTCTGCTGTGTGTGTCTGACCTAACTAACCTTGTTTACGTTTGCCAGAATAATTTTGCATGACAATGCAATATTTTAGCTCCCATACTATGACGAAATCTGACATGGTTCAACTTTGCGATGGTCATGGACCTATTACCTAATGAACAAAATATTGATCTAGACAAGTCTAGACAAAAATTTCATCACAGCTTGAAAGAGCATCACAAAATTAGCAATATTCCGAAATTTCGAGTACAACAACAATCGACCTGAAGCTAAGAGAAGAAAATATGGGTTGACTTCATAAAGGCAAAACGTGTCTTCGTGCCTTCGAAAGCTTCAACTCTTTGTTCAGCGCACTTTAAGCCTGAAGATTACGAGCAAAGATTCTCAATTTTACCTGGGCAAACAAAGCCAAACTACCCCAAATTAAGAAGTGACAAACTTGGTAATTCTGTGTATCCAAGTATACATGCTGAGGCAAGGAAAACCTCTAAAGAACCAGTCGTGGAAAGTCCTAGAGATAGACGGATGGTGAGTCTGTTTATAAAAAGCTTTTGTTTTGAATGTTCAGAAAAGATTCATGCATTTTACTGAGCTGTTTCAATTATTAATAACATTTTATAGCCTGATATTGTATTTGCTGTACTTTTTACTATCCTTTGATCTATCTTGCATAAACACTGGCATCTCATTGATAAGACCCAACACTCAAGCTTCTATGGCCAGAACCCCCTTTAGTTTCCTACAAATGCAACCATAATATTAAGGATTGCATAGTGCACTCCAAATAATTAGAGCTAATGAAATTAAACGCGATACTAATACCACTATGACAGCGGGTTCGATATGGTGAGACACAGATATTGGAGTTTCGTCATTGGTTGTGGCAATACTGGATAATTTGACCATATTAAAGCAATAGAAACACCAGGTTTTGAAAACAAAATGTACAACAACTTATAATACCAGCTGTTGATATCTAACCATAAAGCAGACATTGTTGTCCACATACTATAAAGAATTAATCGTCCTGATTGGCACTTGAAAACGATTAACATTTACGTCAATAGCCAATTTTTCATACCATTCCTTGACTGTGGCATTCCCTACGATAACACCTATATGAGACCACTCGAATAGACTTGTCCTCGCTGCATAGTTGGTCAACCTACAGTTGGACTATTAAAACAGAGCTCGGTGTTTTTGGACATGCATGTACCTAATATGTTTGGATGGCTAATAGCAACAGTTATAATTCCTTTACCTAATTCTATCCTCTATGCATGTTGATGCATTTTATACCTTAGGCGTCATACGCGTCCTATGTAGAATTATTCAGTTATAATCAGCGATTAATGTACCAACTTATTTCCAGTCTTTATTTTCATATGACCATTGGTTCCTTGTACAAGTAACACGAACATACTTGTCATGTTTTAAATAGTATACTTTGTAAATATAATGGATAACTTGATTCCTCCACGTGACAAATTAAGACCTACTATACAGGGTGTATCAAAAAAAGCGCAATCCTCGACTGAAATGTAAATTGCTAAACAAATAATAGACGAAAACGTTAAAGTTTACATTCATTTTAAAGCGTAGCCATTCAGCTTTCTAACAGTGGGTTGTTTCTTAAATTTGACTCATTGGTTCGCGGGTAATAATACTTTACGTTATTGCGATTGGAGATTAAAAAATTGAGATGGAATAACAAATCGCTCTCATGAAAATAACTGATTTTTTCATTAAAACAAAAAAAAGTTGCATTTTATTAAATGGATTGTAACAATAAGTATAATTACGGCTTTTCTTCCACTATTTTTAACTCAGTTTGAAACTTCAAATGCGATATAATTTTGGCTTGGACCATCTAAGCTGACTGACATCAACTTGTTATAATTTCTGTTTACATTACATCGCAATTCGATGACACTCTGGCTCAGACACCAGAATGTTTTGACGATTTTTAGCATTCGTTTAGGATTTTCAAACAACCTGGTCTCTTTTAAAATACTTTTAATTTGTTCTTACGTGGTTTCCCAGATGTAGTGACGACAACATTAAAGTTTAAAGAAGAAAATTCTAACATTTAAACCGACTAAACAATAACATAGTAAACTTGCATAATTAAACAGCAACTAAAAATGATAGGTTTTACTAAATCTTTTCCTGTGCAATTATTACTAGCATTGGAGACAAGGATAATAGTTTGTTTGAAAGAGAAAAGAACAGGCTTTGAAGTAAGCCTAAAAGCATTTAACTAGAAATAGTATTTCGAAAGTTATTAAGCACATAAGATGAATTGCGTTTATTTTGATACACCCTATGGATAACGATTAAACATATAATATCATTCTATTTATTATATCCTTGTTTGGCCTTGTTATATATGTATATATTTAGTTTTTTGGTCAATGTATACTCATAATTTTGTAAGATCAAACCCTGCACGGTGTTATTATTTATTTCGTTATTTTATTATTATTTTTTATTCCTTACTAATCACCTCTTATTGCGATACCTCCCCATCCCTGTCTAATTAGCTCCTTCACCATATTAGGATGCAATCACCTTAGTCACATGGTCACACTATGATATAAATCCTACCCCACCCCTACCATCACATCATTCATACTCACTATACTATTGACTAAGCTACATTAGAAAGGACTATATCATTGCTCTGCTTTATCAAACTGAAAAAGATGAACGCAAGATGCGTGGTGTTGGAATGTCACGCAATAATAAGACATTTGGTAGGATAACTTTACTTTTAACATGTAGTAGTTTTTTCATTTCTCACTATCTTTCCACCCATTATTTTTGTTACTGTGCCATTGGTTATCCTAACTCTTAAACTCTCCTTCATTCTCCTCTGCAAATTCTTCCTACACCCCTCTTAAAAAAAACCCTACTGAAGAAGACTGTAAGGTCGAAACGCATACAGGGTTGCCTTTCCTACTCTCTCCTTTTTCTCTCGACTTATCGTTTCCAATTAACCCATTCACCCCTCTTTTAATTTCTATAATTGTTATTGCCATAATTTATCATGTATATGCAGTTCATACTATTGAAGTTGAAGTAAATAACAATAAATTTGAATACTGGTCCTATAATTATTTAGGTTATACAATGTCTCACACCAGTACTTGTCCCATTACCTATTTTCACCAAAATAAGTGAAGGAAGGCACAAGTGATGACCTCTTCTCCCACATATGTGCTATACTGCCAGAGTTCTTCCAGCACAGCTACACCAAACGAAACCAAGCTGAAAGCTACCATAATGAAAGAGAAGCTGTTGGTGGTGATGATTTCGACCAATCATTTGCTATGCCGCAAGTTGATTTTTCTGAAAATTATACTTGCATGTTTCAAGAAGAGATCCAAAGAGCTCATTGGAAACAGGATCAAGTCATCTTGGTTACTGCTGTTCTTTTGTTTGATGGAAAGCTCCACCCGAGCGTAATTACATCTGACAACTTAGATCATGGCAAAGATACAATCGTTGCTTACATCTACCATCTCCAGGATACTCTTTCCAACACAGTGGAAACAATCTCCATATGGTCCTATGGCCCTTTGTCCCAGTTTAAGAATCGATTTATTGTTGCAGCTATCTCAGCACTTCAAGAGAAACACAAAGTAAACATCAGACGGAAGTTCTTTGCAACATCACATGGCAAAGGCTCAGTTGTTGGCATTGGAGGCTCAGTCAAAAGACAAGTCTGGACATCAGTCAGCACCAGAAAAGCTATTGTTACAGATGCAACTTTTGCACAGCTTGCAAAACAAGCATCCAATATGTTGAGGTCATAGAAATGAAAAGCAAGGAAATAGAAGAACGGAATCTAGAATTTAACCTAGAAGAAGTGTTTGATAAAGCTCCTGTAATAAAAGTATCAATTATTTCATTATATTCAAGTAGGAGATTCAGGGATCCAAGGCTGTCGGTTGACCAAAGATGCTCAACAACTGGATCTACAAGGAAGTGCTCCACCTGCTGATACGGGGGACTTTGCAGTTTCCAGTTGGTGTGTTGTGGAATACGATGGCACACTTTTTCCTGGAGAAATCAAAGCAAACCAGGGAGGAAAATATGAAGTGTCAGTCATGATGAGAGCTGGGAGATATGGGAAGTGGCCTACCCAAGAAGGTCGAATTCCGTATTGCTGTGATCAAATTATGACATCCCAGACTTTGTATAGTTAAGCATTTATATGCATGTACTTATACAAGAACTGTGCTTGACTTTCTTACAGTTGTTAAAGTGTTGATTAAAATCAGTGATTTTGTAACATCCGTCACAATTTAGTTGGCCTCGGCTCTCTTCTGCTTTGAAGGACTATAAGAGTGTTAATCACCTTTTCTGTGGATAACCGATAATATATATCTTGTTTAATATCATGTCATCAAAATGTTGAACTTTAAAAGCTTAAGTTTGCAAGACAGTGTATATTTGAAGTTATGTGATAAATACCTTTGTCCGCTGTCGAGCACTTGAGAACACTAAAATTTTTTAAACATTGATGGCTATTAGATTAAGTAATTAGAAATAATTTGGATTATCATGTTGAAATTCTTCACATAGATACATGAAACAAGGAAATATTATTTTGCAAGAAGATAAGTTTCCTTGGGTTGTCTCTTGCATTGGAACCATCTTTCCACTGCCATTTTCTTAGTCGACCTTGACAAATAGGACAATGAAGGATAGTATATGCATTATATTGTACAAGTGGATGCCAAAAAATTAACGAAGGATTCTAAACGACATTCGAAGATTGCTCAATATCATTGTGAAAAAGTGTTCTTGTCGGAATTCTACATTGCACTAAAACTCATGTATACATGCAATATGACGTTTATATGAGCAAAATAGATAAAAAAGGCTTCCATTTAGATGACCATCACTTATTGTTTAAAAATATTCGTGGTTCGCGTTGCTCCAATATTCTATTTCTATAGCTTTTGTTAAAAACCATTAGTGGATAGTCGCAGGCTTCCATTTAGATGAGTCACCACTCACCATCACTTATTGTTTAAAAACATTCATGAAAATCGTGTTTCGTGTCGATCCAAATGCTGTATGCAATTTCTATGATTGTATTCTATTTTTCTATTTTATGTTTTGCGGCATGGCCTTTATCACAAATACTTAAAGTGACTAAATACTTCAGATTGATCGCTGTTATGAATTTGGTTTATATTATTGTGTTCACATTACATATATTTCACTTTTGAAGGGGGTCCAAATCCGCCAACGGGGGGTCCATACATACTAGTAGATTTGGACCTCCGGGGGTCCATATCCACTAGTAGATTTGGACCCGGGGGTCCAAATCTACTAGTGGATATGGACCGGGGGTCCAAATCTACGGGGGTCCAAATCTACGGGGTTCCAAATCAACTGGGGCACCAGCAGTATGTTGGTGTGGGATTTCCCTTATGGGTTTCCCCATTGATGCTTTTCTCCATGACAATGATGGCAAAGGAAATTTTATTCAAAATATATAGATTATTTTTAGTCTTAACTCATTAACGCCGTATGCGCCCTGAGATTGACAAGTGGGTAACGGACAATGCGCCCAAATGCGCCCTCAAATGACACCTCAACTTGCGGGCATGATATTTGAGCACGTGTTTATCGGGTTGCCTAGCAACGGATACGAAAATAGAACGTGAAATTCGAGCTTTTCAACGGTGTATCATGCAAGAAAATTGGTCAGAAACTCGCAAAGTTTTTCAAGTTTAAAACCTTAGTTTTTCAAAAATAATGAATAATGGAGATATTGTTGCAAAGAAGGATTTTACAGCAAGTTTTAAAAGCGAAAAAAGAAGAGGTTTTCGGATGATATACAACGAAAATTTGGCATGAAAGGAAAGCGAATGTATTGACGTTTTGGGCCAAGTTTTTCTGTGAACCTTGCGCGAAATTTTTAGCCAAAAAGATGAGGATTTCTCCAAACTTTATTAAAAATAGAAGTCGGAAATCACAAGAAGGATGAACACGGAACACAAGTGAGCAGATAGGATTTTTTAAAGGGTATTTTTGAGTAGAAATATGCAATCAAACACTCACAAAATTCGACCGCATTAATGTTGGTTGAATCTAGTTTAAAGTTATCTTTTTAGACGAACTGTTTATGCAAATTTGGACATAATTTCGACTGTTTTCGTGACCCCATTGTTGGTCTTCCTGTTCAAGTTGTTATTTTAGCTAAAGTATGTTTCAAACGACACCAGATTGTGTGTACGTGACCTTTTTTGACCTTTTTGGCAAGAATACTTCGAGTATTAAATTACACTAAATAAGTAGGATATTCCAAAGTCACTGTTATATCTATTTTCATCAATTTAGTGTTAAAATGACAACTCGTTTCAGACATATTGTGGTTTAAAATAAGTGTATTGAATAAACGCGCTTGCTTTGCCGTGTGTGAATTCTCAAAAAGTCCGCACTTGAGTTGTAAAGCTTTCAAAATGCTTTTTTACTAGTTTTTATATCCCCTATAAAACTTTAAATCGATAAAGCAGATAATAATGTTGATGAAACATCATTTTCTAGTAACTACACATTGAATCAGAAGAAAAAGTTATCAAAATAGGTCGTGATGGTTGTTTGGCAAAATGTCTTCTCTGAAATGGCTTCCTTTGCAGGAAGCCATGAAATTGAAGTCCTAACAAAAACTAACCTTAGCAGTTCTTTTGGGCCCATTGCTCACTTCTTTATCATGAAATCGCTTCACTAGAACATTTTTAATAATGTCTATGGAAAACTTTGTAATTTTCTGAACTAAAAGTTTATGGTTTCGAGGTGTTTATTTTATAAAATAGCACGCGCGACAAAATGGCACTTTTGTGGTTTCTCACGTCTGACAAACAACCAAAGATGAAAGTCCTTATTTCACCTTTTTATAGCTATGTGGAATACCTGAATATTAGGTTATCTTTTTCATGTGAGTATATAGATAACATTTCTACGCAATAGTCCTTATGAAGGCTTATTTCAAACAAAAAAAAAGCGATTGTTTTTCAGAGGCAGACTTCAAAAGAGAACG